TGCCCTAGCTTTCTCAACTTCTGGGATTCTGATGATACAAATGTTACTTTTTTTTTTTTTTTGGTGATAGTCCCACAGGTCTCTGGGACCCTGATATTTTTTTAATGATATAATTTTCAGGTGTACAGCATTATAGTTCAACATCTGTGTACACTACAGAGTGATCACTACCGTAAGACTAGTTACCATCCATCAGCACACAGTTGACTCCTTTTGCATTTCACCCACCCTAAACCCCCTTACCCTCTGGTAACCACTATTTGGTTCTCTGCATCTATGAGTTTGTTTTCATTTATTTTATTTGTTTGTTTGTTTTATATTCCACATATGAGTGAAATCATATGGTGTTTGTCTTTCTCTGTCTGCCTTATTTTACTTAGCATAATACCCTCAAGGTCAATCCATGTTGTCATAAATCGCAGGATTTCATTCCTTTTTATGGCTGAGTAGTATTCCATTTAAACGCGCACACACATACACACATATAGATATATATTTATATATATATATATATTTTTTTTACATCTTTATTGGAGTATAATTGCTTTACAATGGTGTGTTAGTTTCTGCTTTATAACAAAGTGAATCAGTTATACATATACATATGTTCCTATATCTCTTCCCTCTTCCATCTCCCTCCCTCCCACCCTCCCTATCCCACCCCTCTAGGTGGTCACAAAGCACCGAGCTGATCTCCCTGTGCTATGTGGCTGCTTCCCACTAGCTATCTATTTTACGTTTGGTAGTGTATATGTGTCCATGCCACTCTCTCACTTTGTCCCAGCTTACCCTTCCCCCTCCCTATATCCTCAACTCCATTCTCTAGTAGGTCTGTGTCTTTATTCCTGTCTTACCCCTAGGTTCTTCATGACATTTTTTTCTTAGATTCCATATATATGTGTTAGCATATGGTATTTGTCTTTCTCTTTCTGACTTACTTCACTCTGTATGACAGACTCTAGGTCCATCCACCTCACTATAAATAACTCCATTTCGTTTCTTTTTATGGCTGAGTAATATTCCACTGTACATATGTGCCACATCTTCTTTATCCATTCATCTTATATGCACATATATATTTCCTTTTAAAACATGAATTGGTTCATACTACACATACCTCACTTTGATTTTTATCCCCAGTTTCCAATGTATCTTGTAAATCTTTCCATATTAAGACACTAAAATATAATAAGGTATCTCTCCGGTCCTGGGAATCAGTAAATGGTGACTGGAGCTACTTCAGGGCCAACTGACCAACACAAAAAGCCTAGGCCTTAAACTCAATTCTGGTTTGATAAAAATTACCCTCATCAAACCTTCTAATTAGCAACAGCTACAACAAAACAGCAGCAGCTAACATTTATTGAATATTTTTATCTGAGACTGACATGAATTATTCAATACTCACAATGACCTATAAGGTATATATTATAGCTATTTCCATTTTACAGATGAGGAACACGAAGTTCAGAGCAGTTAACTTTCCCCAGGTCATAAGGCTAGCAAAGTAGTGGAGTTAGTATTTAAACCCAAGACTGTTGGACTTTCAAAGTTCCCAATCAGTTTGTCTCTCTGGTCATCTGTACACTGAATGCTGTATTCTAATTGACTTCCCTTCAATTTTTAAAAAAAAAAAATTTATTTATTCATTTATTTGGCTGTGCCAGTTCTTAGTTGTGGCATGTGGGATCTTCGTTGTGGCATGCAGGATCTTTAGTTCCAGCACGTGGGATCTTTAGTTGCAGCATGCAGGATCTAATTCCCTGACCAGGGATTGAACCCAGGCCTCCTGCATTGGGAGCATGGAGTCAACTGCTGGACCACCAAGGAAGTTCCAACTTCCCTCCAATTTTTAATTTAAATACAAATTATTCAAACTGAGTACTCATGTAGATCATTCTTATTTGGCCTCATCTGTGCTAAAAGATCCTCTATACCTGAGTTACCCTGGGCTCCTTAATATTGGGTTGGCCAAAAAGTTCGTTCAGGGTTTTCTGTAACATTTTACTTTGGCCAACCCAATACATACTATACCTACTCTGAATTTATACTTCTTGCATTAGTGTATTATTCAAGACTAGTGTTATGCATTGGTGGAATGTGCAGTTCATAGTATGATTTGAATTGCAAATGGAAACATTTCTAAGTTATAAAACTGCCTGAGATTCTACCATTAGGGATTCATTCTTAGGAGCATCGATTAAAATGAAAGTAAGGGGCTTCCCTGGTGGTGCAGTGGTTAAGAATCTGCCTGCCAGCTCTATTTACAATAGCCAGGACATGGAAGCAACCTAAGTGTCCATCAACAGATGAATGGATAAAGAAGATGTGGCACATATATACAATGGAATATTACTCAGCCATAAAAAGAAACGAAATTGAGTTATTTGTAGTGAGGTGGATGGACCTAGAGTCTGTCATACAGAGTGAAGTAAGTCAGAAAGAGAAAAACAAATACCATATGCTAACACATATATATGGAATCTAAGGAAAAAATAAAAAAGGTCATGAAGAACCTAGGGGCAAGACGGGAATAAAGACACAGACCTACTAGAGAATGGACTTGAGGATATGGGGAGGGGGAAGGGTAAGCTGGGACAAAGTGAGAGAGTGGCATGGACACATATACACTACCAAACGTAAAATAGATAGCTAGTGGGAAGCAGCCGTATCGCACAGGGAGATCAGCTCGGTGCTTTGTGACCACCTAGAGGGGTGGGATAGGGAGGGTGGGAGGGAGGGAGATGGAGGAGGGAAGAGATATAGGAACATATGTATATGTATAACTGATTCACTTTGTTATAAAGCAGAAACTAACACACCATTGTAAAGCAATTATACTCCAATAAAGATGTTAAAAAAAAAAAAGAATCCGCCTGCCAATGCAGGGGACATGGGTTCAAGCCCTGGTCTGGAAAGATCCCACATACCACGGAGCAGCTAAGCCCGTGCACCACAACTACTGAGCCTGCGCTCTAGAACCTGTGAGCCACAACTACTGAGCCCATGTGCCACAACTACTGAGCCTGTGCTCCACAACAGGAGAGGCCACCACAATGAGAAGCACCACGTACCACAGCCAGGAGTAGCCCCCACTTGCTGCAACTAGAGAGAGCCCATGTGCAGCAACGAAGACCCAACGCAGCCAAAAATAAAAATAAATTAAATAATAAAGTGGAAGTAAGAAGCAGGAGGGGGATCTAGAAATACTCAAAGAAGTAGAACTAAATAATAAAACAACTAAATTTAAATGTAGATTATTCAACAAAATCTCAAATGAGTGGGGAGAAAGTACCCATGAAACGTCAGGAAAAGTTTTAAGAAGAAAGATTCATACATGTATAGGGTATAAAATTGGAGAAGAAATTGGAGAAAAAAAGATTCATTCACTTTTGCCTTTAAGAACCTAGGTCCACAAAATGCAAAATTTGCCTTAGACAAGCATACCTGTCAAAATTGAGACTCCAGCAGTGGTGGGATGAAGCAAACTGGGGTAGGCCAGGATCAGGAGTTTTGAACACCCAGTAGGGCTGAGTGAAGAGGCACATAGGAGCAAAGAGCCAGGCCAAATGTGGTTCTCCAGGGATAGACCCAAGTTCACATGCGTTCAAATTTAAGTTCCAGCCTGTGGGATGAGTCTGTTGGACATCTTTCTTAAGTAGCTTGCAGGTGTGATGAAAGTGCAAGTATGACACAAGCGCTGTCAGCTAAGGAGACAAGTCCAGTGAAACACCTGGGGTGTCATTCAATCAAATAGTGGCAGGAGCCAATTGGCAGAGGTAAGGGCATGCAGGTGTTATGTATTTTATCTTATTTTACTTTGCACTATTTTATTTTTTGATTTATTTCCCTTCTAGCTTCTTTCCTAAAAGGATTAAATTTAACTTTCAATAAGTTACACATACAAAAGAAACATTGAAATAAGAGATTAAGAGATAAATAATGAATTTAGGAGACTGGATTGGGGAATGGATACTAGTGCCAAAAAAAAAAAAAAAAAATCTAGGCTTCGATGAGCCACAACTGTTTTCAAGTCCACATTGGTTGAACAGTAACTATGAGCTTAGCACTTGTCATGCCTGACCTTAATGAATTTTCCCAGTAACCCATGATGTGGGTATTATCATTTCCATTAAAGTTTTTTTCCATTAAAGTCAATGAAGAAACTTGACTTAGGTAACTTGCTTGGACTCCCACAGCCTGGGCATGGCAGAACTGGGATTTGAACTTGATTTGACTTTAGAATTTGGGCTCTTAAATCTTACATGATACCGACTCTGAAGGTGGCAGGTGTTGAGCAATCAAGTCAGGAGGATACTGGGGTTCAGTATCAGAACATCTATTATCTGAAGATGCTGGGTATCAAGAGAATAAGGCAGGAAACCCTGGATGGATAGTGAGGTCAGAACATGAAGGGTATCTAAGAGTGTTGTGTTCAGGGCCAGAACAGATTCTGTACTGAACATACAAGTGTAAGTTAAATGGTAGTAACTTTGAAGGTTAGGAAGATAAAGCAAAAGGAAATTTAGAATGTCTTACACCAACTCCTCACTTGTTGGACTGTAAGCCCTCCTGAATATGTGAAGCAAATACGTTAGTTAGAATAAAAGGCAAATTCCTCAGAGCACCATTATACACTCCAAAAGATGTCAAGTGCCACTTTCTATAATGTCAACATTTCTTCTTTAAAAAACACAAATACAGGAGCCAGAAGAGGGGTTTACAAGCCACATCATAGAGCCCTTAGTACCCAGTGATAGATAGTAGTCCACTGACCATGATTGGTGCCCTAAGGAGGTGAAAGTTCACATAAGCAGAAACTGTCTTAGCCTAAAGCCGCCCACCGGCTTTAGGACCCGGCGGAGCCGGAAATAAGGCTTGGAGGAGGGACTAGGTGAGGTGATCGCGCACACCTGACGTAATCAGCCCGCGCCAGCAAAAGTGAGGGCGCGAGGGCAGTGGCGAAGCACATTTCTTGCTTGCCTCAGCTCTCACGTACCATGGCGTCCCCCGTCCAGCAGTCTCCTCAGCCTGGCGGCGGGAAGCGCAAAGGCAAGGCTCAGTACGTGCAGGCCAAACGGGCTCGGCGCTGCGATGGCGGCGGGCCCCGGCAGCTGGAGCCCGGGCTACAGGGCATTCTCATCACCTGTAACATGAACGAGCGCAAGTGCGTGGAGGAGGCCTACAGTCTGCTCAACGAATACGGAGACGACATGTATGGTCCAGAAAAGGTACCAGCCCCGGGAAGGGCGGGCTTGAGGGAGGAGGGAAGGGTGGCAGGCCGGCTACCTGTATACGCATGCGCGAGGTTGGCAGCTTGAGTGGCAGTGAGGGGGCGTGTCCTCGCCTTTGAGTCCTCTCCGCCCCCCCCACCCCCGCAAGGTCTCGGCTCCCGACCCCTACCCGGTCTTGTGCTTAAATTTTTGCACTTTGGGCTTTTTTTCCCCATCATTAATCACGGTTGCTCCCATGTATAGATTGCTTCCTGCGGTTCAGGCCTTGTTTCTGAAGCTCTTTCAGAAACAGTTACTTCTCATCGTAGCTTTGTGAAGTGTTGCTCACCGGGACACTGAGGTTGAAGTAGGTTAGGTACTAGCTGGTCCAAGTTCACAAGGGCACACTTCTTTCGTCCTTAAGGTTTTTGCCATATCTTACCACCATTTGAACATTATGGCTGTAGTAATGTGTTTGTCCTAAGCAATAACATCTCTAAAATAGTGTTTTTAGTACTTACTAGTGCTTGTTACTTCTCAAATGCATATAAAAATACATTTCAAAAAGTAAGAACTTTTTGAAACAATACCGTATAAAGTCTCATTGTCCCATTTTGGAAATAATTATATTATTGGCTTAGGATTTGGACCAGTACACACATGCACACCCCAAGGAATTAAATGGAGGAGCATAGTACAGAGGGCATTTAAATTCAGGTACTGTCATTTACTAGCTCAGGGGATGGGCATGTTATTAATTCTGCTGAGCTAGGTAAAAAAGAGAATAATGATAGGACTTAAGAAGGTTGGCTAAAAAAATTGCATATGGGGTTTCCCTGGTGGCGCAGTGGTTGAGAGTCCGTCTGCCGATGCAGGGGACAC